CAAACCTCCCAATGCCTAGCGCCACGGACGGCCCCGTGGTCTTGGCCGCGCCAAGTGACAAGCGCGCAGGTGCCTCTGTCGCCCCACCGATATCCCTCGCGAGCGCCAAGCCGCAGGCAGAAGCCAACAGCGTTGCGTGCGCAGACAACGCCGCGCGCACAAACCGTGATGCCAAAGACACTGCTACTGACAACGGACCTGCTGCTTCCTTATAGAAAACTAAGTCATTTTCATTGTAAATATAGAGTAGTTTTATTTCATGTACTTCCATTATGTTTCTCTAGCTTAGTCAAGTCTAGTCTTGTAGCTTTGGATTATTTTTTTTAAGTACTATTAGGGGGGATCAAGCAATCAAAACTTTCTAGCAAGCAAGCAATTCTCTGTACTGGTGTCTCTCCCCCTCGACACCGCGTTGCTTTTCTGTAATAGCTTTCATTAATGCAATCAAGCTTTCTTTCATTCTGAATTCTCACTTCTGTTCTCTCAATTGCTCTTGGCATTGGTTTTCCCGTACGGCACTGACAATCTCGTCTAGCGTACGGAGGGGACCTCAGTTGGCGGACAGCAACTGCACTGACATCAGTTGCCTAGCCTTACGCCGCCCTTCCAAGGAATCTCAGGAAGGCGCCGCGTAACATAACGCATGAAACCACTACAGATACAAATTCTGGGCGGAGGCGTCGAAATTTATTTGAAAAATGGGGGAATCAGAAGGTGGAGGAGGAATCAGAAGGGTGACGGTGTTAACCGAGGAGATGAGGCGTAGAATTGCAGAAGGAGGAACGTCGACACTGACAGCGGCGGAGATTGAGCAAAAAGTTGCAGAAGGAGGTGGATACCTCAGGGGGTTTAAACCACCAGCCAATTACTCTTATGAAAAGTATGCCAACGATAGCGACGACGAGCTTTTGCCTGATGACGCTTTGCCTGAGCATCGCCCTGATTTTTACCATATTTGGCGTCATTATCACCACCAAGCTGCACAAACCAATGGTTTTGACCTTGATATCTATCCTGGCTGTTCTATGCTGGCTGATGTGCTGCCATTAGATAAGTCCTATACTAAGTCCCATACTAAGTATGGTGAGATAATGATGGAACTGGCTAACCTTGCTATCCAGCAATACAATGAGAAAGAGTGCAATGTTTTTAAGTACAAGTTCTTGAGTATTGAGAAGACTGATTGCTGTTGCGGCGGGTACCAAAAAAAGTCTTTAGTTGCCTGCCAAAAGGAGGGGGGTTGGTTGCAATTGCCAAGCAGGATGGAGAGGGAAGTGTCACTGAAGGGAAAGAGAAAGACCCTTGAACTCTAGTTATTTAATAGTTTAATCGTTTTACTTTAATATATAATCTGGTCTGATAATATTATTCACCTGGATCCCATAGTTTGTAGAAACATTTCAGTTTCTGTAAAAAAAAAAAAATGAAACCACTACAGAGAAATAAAGAAAAGTGAAAGATGAGAATGGTTTGGTTTTAGACGATCTAAATATTTTCTTTTTAACCCCACGCACGAATTGACACCTTAGAAAGTTCCGAAGGCCAAACAGTGCGTCTATTCAGAATGAATATGTTGAAAGTTGGAGCTAAGCATCAATGACCGTCTCTTTCTCTACAATTGTACTTTACCGCCATTAACTATTTTTACGTAATTATTATCAGTACAAATTTTGTATATATAAAATCTGTAGAATAATCTCATTGTATAAACTTTGTACAATTTATAAATTTTAAATTCGCTTCAGTAATCAAATCTAAATAGTGACGCAATGCTTTTATGTTAAAACATATTTTATTACTGTTATTACCATTTTAATATTTTCTTCCCATGTATTTATATAATAAACAGGTTAAACCAATGTTTTAGTACCATGATCAATCAGATGCTGATACATATACCGATCAACCCAACACCCTCACAATCCCACCCGCAAATCACAAAAGACAACGAATGAGGCAGGCTAAAAAATGGAAGTGCCACTGCCACCAACACAATAAGCCTAATTTATATTTTTTTAAATGAATTGAAGTTATTTATATCCTTGGTGTAATCAATTTTTATAATTTTTTGAATTATCATTCTTTTGGTTTGCCACAAAAGTGCAATGGACTTTCTATTTTGGCTCGTCCTTTGGGAAAGAAGGAATAAAAGAAATAAAGACAAGGAAGTTTCATATCAAGCTTGTTTTATTATATCTCTATCTTTTTACATTAATGAGAGGCTAAATACAGGTCCCTTTCATTACTAGAGCTACACTAGTCGGAGCATATATTGATCATAATCCCTTGGAATTTTTAATCCTTCGGTTGACTTCCTTTTCCAACTCTTCAACTCCTTCTACTTCTTCCAATTCCTGCATCAATAACCAATCAATCTACAGTAAGCCTCTTTTAACCATTTAATTCCGAATTATGTTATAAATGTCTAAACGAATAAAAAAGAAGAATAAGAAATATTTATTAACACTATAGACTAATATTCTTTTGAAGGGAAGTTAAGAGAGACGAAAAGAGAGTAGGCACCTTAGGTCCTAGGAACAAGCCATATGGGACACCATCAAATTTCTCCGAGTGATGAAGCTGAAATCCCAGACATCAAAATCAAAGAAGATATCAGTCGTTAGAATCCGTTAAGATATACTCTAAAAAAAATAACTGACCAGTTAATTTAATATTAATCTAATGAAACGACGGCGCTAAACGTGATTAATTTAAGATTAAGAATTAAAGAACTTTTACCTGATGAGCTGCAGCTATCCTCCGAAAATAAGGTACATTAGCGATGGGCCCCACGGGGAATCTCTTGTGAACTAATCCATCGTGAACGAACATGTAAGCCATCCCGAATACTGTGATCCCCAGTCCCTGCATTTATAAGAGCACTTTTCTTTTTTTTAACATTTCACTAAATTTTTTTGACTACTTTACACCTAATTAGTCTCTCTTAATCAAGAATTAATTAGTGAGAACATACCGCGCCGAAATAGAGTCCAGGTATGAGGCCTTTATTGAAGAAGCCGTAGGCAAGAAGAGCAATGGCTGGAATAGCGTTTGTTATGGCAAAAACATCGTTCAGCTCGAATGCTCCTTCTCTTGGTTTATGGTGTGACTGCAAATTAAATACTGTATTATTTAAAACATCACGTAGCCAATATTTGGTTGCCGGGGAAAAAATGACAAGAATCTTGATTTTCCTAGCAAACAAATCAAGAACAATAATCAAAATAATTAGTGTCTAATAATTTAGTGGAAATTTGCAAACCTCGTGCATGTGCCATAAAGAATCATGCCACAACGCTTTATGTGCCCATATCGCCCAAAACTCCATTCCTACCTGAATTTACCACAATATTCAATTTCAGCAATCAGCAACTCTCTCTATGTTAATTTTGCCGCTGATTATGAGGTATAGATTATGAGAAAGTGGAACTTACAGCAGCGCCAAACGAAAGAGCGAAAGTACCAAACATTTCAGAGAAAGACACTTCTCCACCCTATTATCATAAAATTTTGAGAAAAAGGTTAATGCAACCAACAAAGAGCTAAAGGATTAAGCTGGAGAAGAAGAAGAGAGTGATTAATTGGTACCTCCATTTGCCAAGAGAATCTGTAATAAACCGCCAAAACTGCTATAGAAGTAATCCCTAAACTAGATATCACAGCTGCCACAAGATAAGTAAACCTCTCCGATCTTTTCCTAGCCAATTTTTCCGCCAGCCTCGCAGCTGATCTCTGCTCCTCAATTTTTACTTCTATCTCCTTTGCTTCAATAATCTCACTTTGGGCATTCAAATTCTCATTCTCCAGCACAAAACAAACCGTCAACTTTGGCTTTCTTCGACACCGCAGATAATTAGTTCCGCCAAAGTTGCGAGTTAATGGAGAGAAGAACAAAACTGGTGGGCTTGTTGTGGTTGGTTTTGGGGCAAGAATTGGGTTGTGGTTGAAACAAATGGTTTGGGAGCTAGCAGATCCGGCAGCCATGGGCGGTGGAGGTCAAAGTCGGTATAAAAGCTTAGAGAGAAAGCGAGAGTTGGGGGATCTATAGAGGTAGAGAGGACAATTTAAGGTGACAAGTTGTAGTAGCACTGAAAAATTTGGAAGGAAGAGCATGAGTTTCAGTTTGTGGACTGCTTGTGTAAAGTGGTATAAATACAATGCTATATGGGTACGTTGCCGAACGTGTTGGCACACGTTGCTGCCATTGGGCATTTCCCCTTTTGCGGGGTTTGCACTGAGGGTCCTCCTAACTAACTTCTGCTTCAGTTTGTGGTCCTCACTTTGACGAATACTACATAATTGCCACTTTCAAAAAAACATTTTATTTAATATAGAGGAAGGAAAAGGGAAATGAGTATTATAAAATCTTCACCAATAAAATAAAAGTTCCAAGTATATAACCAACTAAACTACTAAGTAGGCATTTGGACATAAAAATTGTAATTTTTGTTAAGATTAATTATATTTTCCACTTGTTTATATAGTCAGTGTATCATTGTTAGCTTAGTTAGAAAGTTAGTTAGTGGTCAGTTTGGACAGCTGTCAGTTAGCTGCCAGTTAGTTGGTTAGGTTAGCTTAGCTCCTTCTCTTTTCATACTTGTATATAGTGGGTGGAGTCCCATTAGTTTTACTGAGTTTTGAATGAATGATATCAAAAATTCCCTTCCAGAATATTCTTCTCCTTTCATCGAACGACCTCGAATCCATAGGACTGAGCTTCCGCCATTGTTGCTGATGCATTCTTAGCTCAGCTAAGGAGGAAGCTACTGTTCCATTGCTGGAATTTGATATGGTATCAGAGCAAGGTCAGAAACTACGATTCATTTTTCCAGATATGTTGAATCTAATTTCGTCATTTTCGATTTTGTTTTGATCGTGTGCATGCAGTCCTCGATCTCATCGATTTCAATACATTTTCCTTAAAATCCTTCATCAGAGTTCTATTTTTGTAGTTAGAATCTTGTCCTAATTGATTAGTTGAGTTTTACGCCTTATAAGAGATGGCTACTGATGGAGATGTTGAACAACCTGCACCAATTGTGGCTGAATCTCCTAATCAGCCAATTGTTGATACTAGTAGCCCTTTTTACATGCATCCCTCTAATAATTCGGGAATAGCCCTAGTTCCTGTTCCATTTGATGGATTTGGTTATCGCTCATGGAGAAGAGGTGTAATGAGAGCCCTATCGGTGAAAAATAAACTAGGCTTCATCAATGGTGACTGCAAAAGGCTAGATCCAGACTCCTCAAGCTATCGACTATGGGAGAGATGTGATGATATGGTGACCTCATGGATTTTGAATTCCTTGGCAAAGGAGATTGCAGACAGTGTTGAATATGTGACAGATGCAATCGAGTTGTGGAAAGAGCTTGAAGATCGATATGATCAGACAAATGGAACAAAGCTCTACCAAATTCAAAAGGAGATTAACGACTTGTCTCAAGGAGCACTTGACATTACTGGCTACTATACAAAAATGAAGAAGTTGTGGGAGGAACTCACTACTCTAATTACCAAATCTCATTGCACCTGCAATTGCACATGTGGAGCAAGGGAAAGTATGCACAAAGCAGAACAGGATAGAAGATTAATACAGTTCCTTATGGGGCTGAATGAGACCTACACTGTTGTTCGAGGAAGTATCCTCATGATGAATCCTCTTCCCATAATTGCACAGGCCTTCTCATTACTGATTCAAGAGGAAAGACAAAGAGAATTAAGCCTCATAACTACTTAGCTCTTGGGTCATCAGCGCTAAATGTCAACACAAACAGGACAACATCATTCAAGACAAATTATTCACCTAATAATTCTCAAAGCTATAGAAACAGACCCTTCTGTGATTATTGCAAGAGGCCAGGCCACACGATAGAGAAGTGTTATAAACTTCATGGCTATCCTCAAGGCTCCAATCAAAATCAGAATCCAAATCTAAGTCACAATCAAGCTTCCACTTTCAATCAAAATCCAAGACAAAACTATAACTATGGGAATAACTCAGGTATAAGCCAAGGTACCAGGTTCAACAGGGGAAATAGAGGAGTGGCTAATGCACATGTAGCAGCCACAGATACTCAACATACTGGTGATGAGAACTGCAGTGCTCAAAATATCAGTCTCACTAAGGAAGAATACAGTCAAATTGTGAATCTACTACAGCAGTTCCAATCAAGAGGAGGGAGAGACAGCTCAGATAATGTCAACACTTCATCAGCAAACTTTGCAGGTATGATAGCTTGCACCTCCTCTATTGATTTTGGGAAACTCTCATGTGAATGTTTCAAAAACAGGACTGATTCATGGATTATAGATTCAAAGGCATCAGATAACATGACCTTTAATAAATCCTTACTAACCAATATAATAACTCTACCTTATCCCCTACTTGTCATTCTCCCAAATGGCTATAAAGTGAAGGTGATTGAGATTGGTAATGTTGTACTTACTCCTAAGATCACTCCGAATAGGGTAATGTTGGTTCCTTCTTTTAAATACAATCTGATTTCTGTTCATTCTCTAGCTTCTCATCTTAATTGTCTTGTTGCCTTCATCAAGTCCTATTGTATACTGCAGGCCCCTTCAATGAAGAGGCCTCTAGTGATTGGTAGAGTCAAAGATGGACTCTACATCTTGTGTCCAAAGTGCTTGAAGAACAACAATACAAGTCCTGGAGCAAATGTCATTGATTTCCTGTCCACCCCTGTCACTCACTGCACTTGTAACACATAGTGTCCACTTCATTCTATTGTAAATACAACATCTCATGCCAATAAGTGTGTTTTCTCATCTCCAATTGTAAATAGTCCAAGTGCAAGCAATGAAAAATAATTTCTTTCTGAGAGTTCATTTTCTAATTGTTCTAGTCCTTTTTCTCATCTGTGTGTTGGAAACCATATGGATGTTCTGTGGCATAACAGACTTGGGCATGTTCCCTTTGTGAAAATGAATGATATTTCCTCTATCCCTGTAACCTTTTCTCCCAAACAACCCTTCAATTGTACCATCTGCCCAATGGCCAGACAGGAAAGATTTCTATTTCCTCAGAAAACTAATACCACCAATAGAATTTTTGAGCTTCTACATGTTGACTTACGGGGACCATATCATCTGCCCACACATGACAAGTACAAATATTTCATGACTATTGTGGATGATTTTAGTAGGACCACTTGGACTCATCTCCTATCCAGTAAAAGCAATGCTTATCAATTTCTAAAAGAACTTTTTAATTTGGTGGAAAATCAATTTGGAGTATATGTTAAAGCTGTGAGAACAGACAATGGGATGGAGTTCACCAACACAGAGACAAACATGCTATTTCAATCCAAAGGCATCATACATCAAAGAACTTGCCCTTACACTCCACAACAAAATGGGGTGGTGGAGAGAAAACATAAATACCTCCTTGAGACAGCTAGGGCTCTCCTCTTTCAGTCTAAGTTGCCCCAAAAATACTGGGGTGAATGCATACTCTGTGCAACCTTCATTATAAACAGGTTGCCTTCCACTTCTATCAATGATCAAACTCCATATGAGCTGTTATACAAGAGAAAGCCAAAATACTCTCACCTAAAGAGCTTTGGGTGCCTGTGTTACCCCACTGTACCTAAGCCTCATAGGGACAAATTTGAACCTAGAACACCACCACATGTTTTTATTGGCTATCCTTTCAACACAAAGGGATACAAAGTTCTAAGTCTGGCTACTAGAAAAATCACTGTTTCTAGAGATGTAGTCTTCAATGAGTATATCTTTCCATTTGCAACTAATTTGGATATGTCTCCTCAATCTAGTTTCCCTCATTCAATTCCTTTCATTGAACCTCTATGTGAGAAACCCTCTGACATTATAAACATTACACAACAAACATCTGAACATTTGAGTGTTCAAGGGAGTAATGTTGAGAACACAACTAATCTCATGTCACCTACACATGATCATTCTTCATCCATGACACCTAATTCTCCAGCACAACTTTCATCACAGGATCATACTGAACAATCCCATGCAGAACCTATACAACCGAGACAGTCATCAAGAACACACAAGGCACCTAGCTATCTACAAGACTATGTACATTCCCTACCTAAACTTAAACCAAACACCAACTCCCTTAGTGCACTGTTTTCTGTAAATCACCATGTTTCCTCTGATCTACTAACTCCTAATAGTCAAGTTCTTGTGAGAAATGTTTGTCATGACAGGGAACCATCATTATATGAGGAAGCAGCCATTGATCCTGCATGGCAAGCTGCAATAAACAGGAGTTTGAGGCTCTATATTCTAATCATACTTGGGACCTGGTAGCTTTACCACCAGGAAAACAAGCAATAGGATGCATGTGGGTTTACAAAGTGAAGCATAAAGCTGATAGTAGTATAGAAAGGTTCAAGGCCAGATTGGTTGTGAAAGGCTACACACAACAGGCAGGAATTGATTACACAGAGACATTCTCCCCAGTAGTGAAGATGACAACAGTGAGAGCATTAATAGCCACAGCAGTGAAGAAAGGCTGGTGCATATCTTAGCTAGATGTAAACAATGCCTTCCTCCATGGAGACCTTAATGAGGAAGTATATATGCAAACCCCTCCTGGGCTTGTTGTGGACAAACCTGGACTAGTATGCAAACTAAACAAATCTCTCTATGGTCTAAAACAAGCTAGTCGACAGTGGTATGGAAAATTGACTGAGGCTCTATGCTCAAAAGGATATACACACTCCATGAATGATTATTCACTCTTTTATTAGAAAAATGGAGATTCATTGGTATATGTTGCAGTATATGTTGATGATGTATTGCTTACTGGAACTGATCAAGAGGAGATCACACAGTTGAAAGACTCTTTGCATGAGCAGTTTAAGATCAAAGATCTGGGCAATTGCATTTTTTTCTAGGGCTGGAAGTGATGTACAAGGATGATGGTGTGGTAATTTCTCAAAGGAAGTTTGTGCTGGACATGTTAAAGGAGTATGACTGCCTAGACCATAAGTCTTGTTCCACCTTTAGACCCTACAGTAAAGCTAAAGGCTAAAGAAGGTGCCATTCTACAAGATCCTACATACTACAGGAAACTGGTAGGAAAGCTAAATTTCTTAACCAATACTGGATTGGACATAGCATATAGTGTTCAGCACCTGAGTCAATTCATACAAGAGCCCAGAGAGCCACATTTGAAGGCAGCATTCCATCTGCTTAGGTATCTGAAAAGTGATCCCACTCTGGGAATCTTCATGTCCAAAGATGCAGTTTGTACAGTCAGAGCATATTGTGACTCTAATTGGGCTAGTTGTCCAGATTCTAGGAGATCCATCACAGGCTATTTGGTGCTTCTGGGAAATAGTCCTGTTAGTTGGAAGTTCAAGAAACAATAAACTATATCACTATCTTCTGCAGAATCAGAGTACAGGGCTTTAAGGAAAGTAGTGGGGGAACTGGTATGGTTGAGCAGGTTGTTTGAAGAACTAGATGTCCCATTTCCAATGCCTATCTCAGTGTATTGTGATAGTCAATCTGCACTTCACATTGCCAAGAATCCAGTCTTCCACGAAAGAACCAAACACATAGAAGTGGACTGTCACTTTGTGCGCGATCAATTACAAGCAGGGTTAATTTCACTCCACCACATTGGTACAGACAGCCAACTGGCAGATATTCTGACTAAAGCCTTAATTGGAATCAAACATGGTGCCACATTACGCAAGTTGGTTGAGTTTGCAACACCTCCAACTTGGGGGGGGGGGGGGGTTAAGATTAATTATATTTTCCACTTGTTTATATAGTCAGTGTCATTGTTAGCTTAGTTAGAGAGTTAGTTAGTGGTCAGTTTGGACAACTGTCAGTTAGCTGCCAGTTAGTTGGTTAGGTTAGCTTAGCTCCTTCTCTTTTCATACTTGTATATAGTGGGTGGAGTCCCATTAGTTTTACTGAGTTTTGAATGAATGATATCAAAAATTCCCTTCCAGAATATTCTTCTCCTTTCATCGAACGACCTCGAATCCATAGGATTGAGCTTCCGCCATTGTTGCTGCTGCATTCTTAGCTCAGCTAAGGAGGAAGCTACTGTTCCATTGCTCGAATTTGATAATTTTTGAAAAAAAGTACTATTTGGAGTTAAGTTGAAAAATGAATTTTGGAATTCGAAATTATGTTTGGACAAGCATTTCACTTGAAAAAATGTTGAAGTTTTGTGAGAGAGATTTTTTTTTTTTTTGAAAAAGTGGTTTTGGTTTTTGTTAAATTCATTTTCGAAATTTTTCCAATAACTAGCAAAATTTCATGCACAAACATATTTTTGGAAATTCCAAAAAAAATGAATTTTTTTTTCATGGACAAATTGGTCCTAAGATTCCTCATTAATTGCCACGTTCATCATTTAAACTGACTACTTCTTTCTTTGTATCCTTTAATATAAATCTAATATATAAATTACATTTCATGTCTTAGGTATCAGGGTCGAAGGTGTCAAATTGCCAAATTGAGAAGAGTAATCAAAACAAGCATTTAGGTGTCCTGAATAACAAAATCAACTTTAATGCGTGTTGGTGTATGATGCTTATTATTCTTTCAAAATTCTTCATTTCATTCGTGTATTATGGTAAAATGACACCATCGAAAAAATTAGTAAAATAATTGAGGTGTGCATAAGTAAGACTGGACACCAACTTAATAAAACAACAATAAATATGACAAACTATTATTTTTCCTACATGTTCTCGAGTTACACATAAAAATAGTTTTATCATGGAAGTTAAACAACATGTTAATTTTAAAGAATGGAAATCAATTTTACAAGGATAAAATTTACAAATAAGCCACTTTTCACACCATATAATTGAAAAATAGATAAACTCGAGGACAATGCTTATTTCTCAAAGACGGCGTGAAAAATGATTAGTGAGTGCTATTTCTGTATTGGTCTAAATTTGGGCGGCTTGATAACTGTAAATAAAACATGATCAAGGATAGAGCTGACCACGGTACAATGGCAAGGAGTTATCTTAAGAAGGATTATTGCCGAGGTCAAGCAAAGCGGGGAAGGAAGCACCGGTAGGATAGTTTAGCAATAGATATAAGGAATATTCCATTGAATATTCCCTAGGTTGTACTTTTTAGGGTTCTTGGGGATAACCCTTATAAATAGGAAGAGATAAAGAACAAAGAATGATCTTCACTTTTTGATAAGAGCACTTGTAAAGGGTTGACTACAAAGAATATACAAAAATGCTTGTCTTGTTCACTGATTCTATTGCTCAACACACGTCGTTCACCCTTTATTACAAGATCTAAAGATTCCCTATCCATCTTCATTTATCATTATCCCACGTTGCTGTCAGGAAGAAGAATCACCCAAACCATCTAACATTTGGGTGATAAATTCCTCTTTATTACATTTATTGTCATTATCTACATTTATTGCATGTTCTTATTATAACATTCATTGACATTCATTGAATACCTATCTGATCTTTATTACTCATAAACACGATCCATCCCAGGATCTGTCTAAGTTTTTTATCTAGAATTTATTATATCTAACTAGGATTGACCCTCTATTTCCTTATTAATTAATTTAACAAAAAATTTAACACTTTTTGATCAAATAATTTCTACATTTTACAAGCCAAGATTGGCTACTGTACTTATTTGTTCCATTAATTCAAAACTTCATTTCTTCATATTGTATATATCTTTTCAAGAGTCAATTTTTAGGTCGCACTATTTTCAAC